TATATTCAATCATGTCAGATGGAACCGCCATCACGATATCGTCAACATATCTAAAGTAAAAGGTCAATGTAAAACCTAATGAATCTATTGCTTTGGTTTCTAAATCCTGCATGACTAGATCAACTATAATGGGAGACAAAGGTGATCCCATCGGAGTGCCAAATTTTTGTTTATATATTTCACCATTAAAAGTGAAATAAGTCGAATTTAGTACTAATTTTAATGCTGTAAAAAATTCTTTTTCTGGAATATTTGTTGATTTTTTGATATAATTCCATCTATTCGTCACACTCTCAATTGCTAGATCTAATGGTGTGTTAGTGAATAATGAAATAACGTCCAGAGAAATTAATGTGTATTCAGTCCCCAATTGTCTTCCTTTTAAAACTTGTGCCAATTCAAAACTATTTTCAATTCTACTGAGAGGTTTGGGGGACTTTGCTGAGATTATGTTATGTAAAAATGAAGCCAAAGGATGTAGAGGACTATCAATTGATGAAATGATGATTCTGAAAGGACAATTCTTTTTATGAACTTTAGGAAGTGCATAAGCGCGAGATAACGTGCCTTCGCTACAAGATATTTTTTTGTAAGAACCATCCGAAATATAGTTATTCTTTTTCCAACGTAATAATAATTTGTGGACTTCTTTCGTGAGATTGTTAATCGGATTTTTAATAACTTTACTGTAAGTATCCAAGTCTTGAAGCATTTCTGTGACTTTCGAAATGTACATGTTCTTATTTAAAGCCACAGTGATATTTCCCTTGTCAGCTTTAGTGAAAATTATATCTGGATTATTGTTAAACCATTCCTTTGTAATACGTACAAGTTGATTCAATCTTCTACTGATCACATTGTTATGAACGTGAGATGACAAAAAATTTTTTAATATTGGTGTAATATAATTTCTGATGCTTAAAATATTACTAGGCTTAATTTTCATAAAATTATTTTCTATATTTTTAATAAATTCCAATAATATTCTTTTCTTATTAATAGAAGGTAATGAAAAATTTTCACCTAATTGTAAAAGATATTGAACGTTTTCAGGAATTGATAAACCAGATAAATTAATAAACCAACCTTCTTTGATGTTAAATAGTGAAGATTCTGATGATGTTTCAAAAAATTCCATAGAATCTATCTTAATGTTAAAATGTTCATTAGAATTGCAAGAATTACCACTGTGAACAGACAATTGAGAACGAATATCATGGAATTCTGAGGCAACAGTATTGCTCCGACGTAATTGATTAACCATTACATGATAATGGATCGGAGTTATGTCCCTAAAAATTTTTCTTTTATTCTTCTGCAACAGCCAATTTATTTTTCCTGAGAGAATGATTTCTTCTTTCCTCATGTGATATTGGAAAGTGATTTCTTGTTTCGAAAAAAAAGAATTACAAATCGAAATAGGAACATGTTGTTGAATTTGTTTCCTC